ATTTGCATTAAGAACATTTTAAGCCCCATGATTATGTAGGTGGATTATTGGATGTCTAAGTAATTTCAATAGTTTATTGCAGTGCAAAATGCAATTATTTTCCACCCAAATTCTCTATATGAACAATGAATATATTACAGAGTATTGTACAATGTATACACATATTATTGAGATGTATACATATCTATTTATATTGTATACTTATTTTTGTAAACTCATGGCAATGCATTCTGTATTGAAATAATGTATAAGGAAACTAATGTTCTAACTAATATCTTCAAATTAAGTAAATTCTGTACCTTTTTCAATTCATTCAACAAATGATTTTGACCAGCTACTACATACATGTTACAGTGCTAGGCACTTTCCACAGATGCTATCTCATTTAATGACCTTAGCAGCCTTTTGAAGAATATGCTAGCACCCGCATTTTATAGATAAGGAAGTGGAAGCTGTCTTAGTCAATTTGGGCTGCTGTAACAAAATGTCATAGACTGGCTGGCTTACAAACAACAGAAATTTATTTCTCACAGCTCTGGAGGCTGAGAAGCCCAAGATCAGTGTACCACGATTCTGTGTCTGGTGAAAGCCCACATCCTGGTTCACAGATGGCTGTCTTCTCAATGTTCCCATGTGGTGGAAGGGGCAAGGGAGCTCTCTGGGGTCTCTTTTACAAGGGCACTAATCTCATTCATGAGGGCCCCACTCTCATGATCTAATCATCTCATAAAGGCCCCACATCCAAATAACATCACATTGGGCATTAAGATTTAACATACAAAGTTAAGGGACACAAACTTCAGTCTGTAGCAGAAGCTACATATAATGAAGCCACAACACAATTTTACTGTCTATAGACCTGGGATCTGAACTCAGATTCAGTGCTTTTGCCAAAGCTTTACACTTCTAAGGGCAGAGGAGCCCTGGAGGTAGATGAATGTTGTGCAGCCTCGGTAAAATAATTCACTTAAAAATAGCTCCTCTTTTCCTTTGGACAAATTACATAAACCACCAAGAAAAAATAACTTGCTCCAAACTGGAACGACCAACCTATTTGTTGTGGAAATGAATATCCCAATGTTTGAATACTGTCTCTGCACTGACTGGCAATAGAAGGCGGTGCTAGAAATAACACTTTCCTTTTCCATTGAATATTAAAGTTACCACGGGAAAGTGGTTGCCACATTTTTGTACACTGCAAGCTGTCGTGGTAGAAGGAACCACCACTTATGTTATATCTGGATGTTTTATGCTTCTCATGATGCAAACTGCCATTGCATCATTTTTTTTTTAATGTGAGGAGATTTGTAAGCATATTGAATGAAAGTTGCATGGCATAGATCTATTTTCTTTCTTTCAATCTGGAAAGAAAAAAAGTGAATGCAGCAGAACCTCCTTACAAATTGAGGTGGCCAATGATGGATGGATTTGAGGGGCAATGTAGTGCAGGGGGTTAAGAATATGTGCTCTGGATCTGGACTATGTGGGTTTTCTCTACTAGCTGTGTGACCTAGAGAAAGTTAAAAAAAAATTCGATGCCTCAGTTTCCTTATGTTTGAAGAGTGAGAACTAATTAGCTTTAGTACTTCTTACAAGATTTAAAACAAAATAGTATCTTTAAGACAATTTACTAGAAAAGTAGAAATGCTATTTTTCAATGGCTTAACGTCACTGCAGCCAGGGGCTGACTGTAGGCAGAGAAAAGGTATTCTAATTTCCTAAACACTTGGAGGTTTGTGCCTAGTCTCTCCCTGTCAACATATTTGGAAACATGAACTTCAAATTGCCCTCTCTTTAAATAGTAGTGCAATAACTGGCATTGACAATAGAATTAGTGAATTCTGGAAGGGAAGATCCTTGTATACCCAGGCCATAGTTCACAGTAAATATTTCTTACGTTTACGAGCCAATCAAGCGATTTGATATTTAGAAATGTCTGCTTGGCTTATCAAAGGCATGCTGTTCTATTATTTTTACAGAGGGCAAAACAATGATCTGTCTTTTGGAGTATTTATAAATATTACTAAATTCTTTCCTTCCCAGGAAAGAAAATGAGATGATTGAAAATAAAATTAGGACCTGAAGGGATAAGTCTCCAGCGCTGGCCTTTGGGGGTCGGGGTGGTTGCTGATTGATCTTGCCATTTTTAGACACTGTATGTTACAAAAAGGGGTTTCTACACTCAGGAGCCAGCACTGATAATGAGTTTTAGGTGTAGACAGGTGAGTATTTTTATAGTAATGGCTATACATTTAGTCGGTATTTTAAAATTCAAGTAGCCTATCCTATAGATCCAGCCTCTATTCCTACTTCAGGCAATAGCTCCCAGACTTTTCTTTGGGGAAATGCTGCTGTATCAGTGGTATCAGTCTGATACCCACAGTCAGTGGGACTGTCAATCAAAGTGCTTCGTCCTCTGAGGGCTACGGGATGAGGCAAATGTACGCTCTTTTTCTGAACGGTCAATGAAGTGAGACGAAGTTTCAAATTCAGTCTGTGACTGCATGAGGATTTCTGTTTTCTTTGTTCCTGGGACTGTCTCTCCCACCAGTGCCTCTTTGGCTGACCCCTCCATCCTAGAATTTATGCTGTATCTTTCCAATATGCTCTTTTCAGATCTTTAAATCCTACATAACTAGAGTTTTTGCTGATTATATTTAAAATTTTTGTTTCACTTTGGATGTTATGGATATTATTGCTTTAGAAAAATCATGGTATTAACATAAAACATGGTTGTTTTAAAGAAAAAAATGTAACCAAGAGTTTGTACAAATGACATGCAGATCTAGCAAAAACTGTGAGGATTAGCAAAGGGCTAATGATAGGGAAATATCATTACAATTATTGACGTTAGCAACAAACTTCCTGGGCATATTTAGGGATTAAAATTGGAATATCTTGAAAAGCCATTAAAAAGAGCATCCAAGATTGTATTATAGGGATGATCCTTATTGATAAAAGAAATACAGACTTGGAACAAATATACTATTAGTGGTTTTAAAGGTTTAGAACAGATACATTTTGAAAAGGGCATTGTATTATTTCCTTGGTCAAGATCAGGCCTTTAAAATTTTTTTTTAATTTTAAATTTTAAAAAATTAAAAAATTTTTTCCCAGGCCTTTAAAAAAAAAAATCTAAAGACACTTACTGCTTATATCACAGAATCCTGTTTTTCTTTTTCTAAGTAGAATATTTTGTTTATTTTTAACATTATTTCCCCCAATTAGTAAAACACTGAAAGTATAAACCTCCATCGACCAAATCAAGACTCAGTGCTGCAGATAAGCCTGTGTGCGTGGTGTGTGGTGTGTGTGTGGTGTGTGTGTGTGTGTGTGTGTGTGTGTGTGTGTGTGTGTGTGTGTGTGTGTGTGTGTGTACCAGAACCATGCATCTGAGGCTGGAGGTTTCTTGTTAAGACTGTTAGAGGTTCCAGTCCTGCTTCTTCTGGACACATTGATATAAATGCCATGAGGTCCTTTGTGTCCCAACCCCATAGGAGCAAGTTAAGGCTCCTTTATTGCCCCTCTCACCTTGAGGTACTCTGAGTTCCAGTTTTGGATCTAAACACCTGGAGGTTGAAGACTTCCATTCCCCCCCCCCC